GGGGTAAGGGACGTGCTTTTTTACAAATTTCAGATTTTTTTTTTTTAAAAATGACAAAAGTGTCAATTGGGTGTGCAGTATTTAACTAACACTCTTTCACAATTCAAAAAGATACTACAGGGCAATTTTTTTTCCTGTATTTTGGCTCGAAAGCTTAGCAATTACATTAGATATTTATTTATAGTATACAGAAAAGCTATCTGGTTCAAATTAACAAGGCGAACCATTTTGACATCACTCGTTAGCAACAGAAAAAAGGCGTTAAGGTTATGATCATAATCTCATTTCCAACTCTTTCCTGGAACCATTATTCACTTTAGATTTCTCATTTTCTGCTTCTGTATGTGCTTTCTTCTTCTCGACTTCCATTTGCTTGCGATTCTCCTCATGTGCACGACTGAACATCCTCACAAAATTTAGTAAAGTTGAAACAACTGCACAAATGCACTTAGGTATGTCAAAACTAAAAATAGTTGAGATAGTTGAGAAATTAAGAATTACAAGAATACCTTGTTCAAACGGGCAGCGAACTGGGTCTTCACCGAAATAAAGAGCCAATGCATCTGCATTCCTTCCCTATATAAAACTCAAAGTTCATCAGATTAAATAGTCATATATATTGAATATGTGCATATATCTCATATATGAACAACGGTTTACTAAGACTAGTAAGGATTTACCGCTACAGAATAGATTGAAGCCAGTGCTCTAACTTCTGCTTCAGCACAGCCATAAAATTCCTTCAGAGTCTATACGAATATCCATAGAAACGATTATTAGATAGAAAAAGAGAATTGTTGTGAAAAGAAAAACAAATTTGAAGAGCAGAAAATTGCACACTAGAACTTCAAATGAATCGGAAGAAAATTAAGGATAGATGTTACACAAGAGCAATCATAACTCACTCATAGCTTCGAAATACTTTTTTAATTTTTTAACAACTTGCCCCTTATTAAATATTACATTTTGTCACTCTTCCAGTTGAGTTACCTTGCAGAAGTACTCAGAGACAGCTCCATCTTTCTCGGAAGAATTTAGTTCATGAGAAACTTTTTCAAGCCCTTTACTGAGGGCTTGCATTTCCTCTGCCAAATACTTTAGCTGAATCTGTAACAGATTTTTTACCACGTAAATATACTCGATTCTATTAAAACAAATAGCAAAAACATTGCAAGGAAAGAAAGAAAGAAGATTAGGTGTACCTTTGTTGCGGCTTCTAAACTTGCAAGGTCTTCATGAAAATCCAAAACTTCTGGCAACTTTTCAGAAAGAACCTTGGGATAGATACAAGCTATGTGTCAGCATGTCGTTAATGCGATTTTCAACACAGTCTTCTATTGTGTGATTTCAGATTCAGTGTCGTCTACTCAAAGACAGTAAACAATATAATAGCAATGAGAGAGAGAGAGAGAGAGAGAGGTATCAGTAGCAAAATATGGCCTAATTAAATACCTTACACAGATAGTGTAAAAGAGTCAGCTTATTGTTATGTGATCTCGTTTCACTAAGTTTTAGGAGACTATCCAGACGAAATCCCACAGCAGAACCTGAGGGAAAATGGAGTCACAAAATTTTAAACAAGGTATAGGAAAATGAAAGTTTAACATGAAGTAAATGGTATAATCTGAAGTTACCTCTTGCTGTTCCGTGATTTAATGCATTTCCTAGTGAAAGGATACTTTGCATGATCCTTTTCAACTTGACAGAATTTCTGACCTGAAAAATTAAGTTTCAGTTGGAATACACTCATTGTAATAATAAATAAAAAAGTAGACAAGTAAAAACTATAATTACTGGCCTCTTGAGATGCAGAATTCACAATATTCAAATTGTTTCTCAAATCTGACAACTGCAAGAGGTGGAAAGGACTGATATTTAAATCGGTAATTAAACGATAGAAATTAATACATGAGATGCGCAATCTACATTGTCTTCTGACCTGGGAGAAAAATTGAATTTTAAACGAGAAAACTCTAAGCTTCGACTCTACACGTGGAACTTTCATCAACTCCAAGAAAAACTGCAACAAATGGGTTTTAAAAACAAAAAATGAGCCTTGGGTTTTACCATTTCAACTAGATTAAAAGATTATAACTGTGAAACTATATACTGAACGTGCACTTTGAATGAATGGTAATATCTACCTGTTCACACTTTCCAAGGTTCTCCCTTTCGCCATTGTAGTTCTGGAAGAAATAGTACAGTTAAGACATGGCTGTAAATATGAAACAATCAGCTTCTAAAATTGGTTATCTGAATGATAACCTGCTCTCATTCTAATTACTACTCAATAATAATAAGTAAAAGAAGATAATTGAATTATATTCGCCATTATAGAAGAGCAGGACAAAAGTACCTTAAGGAGTTCTATCTCTTCTTTGGTTGGACAAAATTTTATCAGGTTATCAACCTGATCGATATCCAATGCTGAGTCATCCAAAGCAAGAACCGAATTCTGTGAAAGACGGTACAGAATAAAAGAACATTTAAAAATATATCACTGTACAAGAACTATTTTGTCAAAATATTGGATTTTGATTTGGAGGAGAGAAAAAGTCGATAAAAGAAAATCTTTTAGAGTGAAAAAAGTCTTATGTAGAAGGATATAACACACAGGATAAAGAAATCAGGAAACACAATGTATAAAGAATTGTAAAAAAATTCAAGAAAACAAAATAAGATAAAGAATTGTAATTTACTATAAACCCTGATGATTAATGAAACTCGCCGCTGTTGATTTTAATAAAAGTACTTGAAATTACTAGAGAAAAGACACAGCTACTTGACAGAACAAAGATCACATGTTGGCTAAAGTTCAGTCAGGCATTAAGCTAGAAAGTTGAAGTAAGGTGTACAACTTACCATCAAATCCGACAAGGGAACCTTGACTTTTGTTAGCATAATTTCGCAGTTGTACGCTCTTCGGAGCTCGACCTGCAGAAAGTGCATTTAACTTGGAAAGAAGCCAATGATATAAAAAAGCTCTGTGAAAAAAAGTAAATTAAGTACAGAAAGTACCAAATGAACTTTGTTTGGTTTAAGCCCTGATCCACGCCTATTCATTTTCCTGCCATTATCCCCGTCATCTGAATTCGTAACAATGGTCGAGAATAAACTTTCGATTTCAGAAATATCCAGCTCAAGAACTCTACAGAAAAAGAAACAAGTGAAGACTTAATTACCTTGGATGTCATAATCTGATAAAAATTATTAAATGATAACTCACTTTGAAGCCTCTTCAGGTTTTTGTGCCTCGGCCCACAAACTGCCCTGAACAGCTCTTGTTAGCTTCAACCAGTGGTAAGCCCTGAGAGGTGCCTTTCTTGATTGAACTTGAGTTTGAGTTCTCATGCTTGCTCGTGATTGCAACTTTCCCTTCACACTTTGAAGATAAGTGGGCCCGCCTTTCGAAAGTGGAGTTGGCGGAGGTGGAACAACTTGTCGGCTCTTAGCTGGCGGCAATGCTGCATGCTGAGGTGGCGGCGGTGGAGGAGGAGGAACGGATTTCGGTTTTCTTGAAGTGTCAGTAGGGGCCACAGGGTTTTCTTGACATGAAACGGATGCTGACGTGGACGGACGCTGGACTTTTCTGTTGCTGAATTCGGTATCGTCGTGCAGTAGAGCTGTTATACCTAGTGCTGAGATTGTTGCACCTCGGTATCTTGAGTTGGGAGAAATTTGAGATATTCGTGGGAGTATAATTTTGGACTGAGCAGGCCTATGTACAAAAATGTGTTGCTTGCTCGAATCTGTCTTCTTTGGCGTGGAATCTGAATCGTCACTTGATTTTACCATAAGCTTTGCTTGTGGAGAAGTTGTGCTGTTTTCAGAAGCTCCATTTTTTGGACTCACTTCAAGTGATTGATCATCTTTGTTAACAAGATTACTAGAAGCACTGGAAATTTCATGCTTTTGAACAGTCTCAGCTTCATTTTGGAGAAAGACATTTTCGAGTTTTTCATCTCTGCCACTTGGTGGAGAAGTATTTTCAAGATCATCTTTGTTAACACACTCGAGCACAACATCACCTTGAACAGGACAGTTGACATTAACTCGAACCAGATCAAAATCCGCCTGTAACAAATTGCGACACACAGAAACAAAATCAGGAAACAAGTTTCTCATTCTTCAGAAAAGAGCGAAAATATATAAATAAATTACTGTATCTAGTTTTACTTAGCAAATTAATAAAAACAACTTTACAAGAACAACAAGGAGCTTTGAATGAGCATACAAATCTGCGTGTCTAACAAATTCAGCAACATTTGGACGTATAAATACATGAGATGCAGCAAACCTGTCTGAATAGTCTCACGGCTTTACTCTCTTTGGGCACTGAAAAGAGCATTTTACATATCCGATCAGCAGCTGCAAAAGGATCCGACCCGTATATCCTAAATATGGGCCCACGAGACCACTCTCCATACACATTGCTTGATATCATGTCCAATATTTTACTCTCATCAGTACATTGCTTGTTATAAATCAAGAACGTTGCAAGCATGAAGGCTAATACCAGAAAGCAACCGTTTTCACAATGCATCAACAGTAAATTCCTCTTCCCAGATGAAATCCATTTACGGCTCGAGCTCAAGAAGTGTTGGATTGTTTCCAGTGGGACTGAAAGGCAGCTTTTACTTTGGCAATGGTAGTTTATTACGGTCATACCATACTTAGGAAGTGTGTTAATAATTTGAGTTTGGTGATTTTCATCTCCAAAGTTCTGAACCATGAGTGAGGACTCGGGGAAGTTTTCGTGTAGTTGTTCCAAAGTATGCCCGATATAGGCTCGATACTCATGAAGGTTTGAAATGTTTGAGGTCAAGCAGCAATTAAATACTGCAAAAATCACAGTACCAGCCATTCAGTACTTCTGAAGATTTCCAAAATTTCAAGATTTTATTGAAAAATAACATTAGGATCATTAAGGACATTCCCAGTTAAAGATAAATAGGAAAAAGTAACAAGAAAAATAAAGGAATTTTTTATATATTTGAACACCGCAAATAAATCCAGGTTTCAAGAAAATTTACTTTAAAAAAAATACATTCAACACATTTCATATCCATCCAAATTTTCAAGAAAACTTACAAAATCCATGGATAAAGCAAACAATATTAGTAGTTAGTCAACATACCAAAAACCCTTTCAGAGATCTCCAAAAGTCCTTCAGGCAGCTTACGGTGGGAAATTTTGCCAGAAAGCGCCATTCTTGCACCAAAATTTCAACCTCAAACACCCACAAATGCAAACCCTGTATCAGTTCAAGAAAAGACACGCATTGCAACAAAATGACAACTGCCCCACATTACAAAATCTGGACAAAAACAAGAAAGCCCAGAAGACAAGTTAAGTCTGCATAACAAAATAACATAAAAAGGTGGCTTATTTGGGCAACATTTTATCCTTTACATTCAAGAAAGTGAAATCAGAAGGCAGAGGTGCTACTGGTTTTGCTGGGGCTGTAAGAAACACTTAATTTCTTTTCCATGTGGATACATTTCTTCACACTCACACTTACTCTGTGTTTGTTGGGTGCTTCTGTTAGTGTCTTTTTGATGTGTGTGACTGAGCTCGCAAGATTAGTTAAGAAACTTGGCTTTCAAAGGGAGGAACCCAAAAGACAAGCGCGTGGGGAAAAAGGCTTCTCCAAATTCATTCCTTTTGTTTTTTTCTCATTTTCTTGCTAAGATAACAAGATTTGGTATTTTGGTATTTTGATAACAAGATCTGAGTGCTTTTTTTTTTTCGCTGCGAATCTATTCAGTACATAGCAGGGATTTATGTGTGGGTGTCGAAATCATTTTGGTGCGTAACATAATTAGATGTCTGATAGTTCCTTTTATTCTATTGTCACTTTCATGCTTCATGCGCACGTGTTCCTAGGAAAAATAGATAAGGAATCTTGATCGACTATATAAGACAGCAATTAGGAATCTATTAAGGAATTGATCTTAATTGGAAAACACACAGAGAGAAATAACACTCGCCTGTATCAGTTAACAATTACATTTATCTATGATATTCCTGTTTTATGTTGTGTTTGTTGTAAATAATTATTTGTGGACATTGGTTAGTGTTGATGTACAATGGTTATTTGTGGACATTGGTAAATGAATGAATAAAGTACGATGTTTTACAATTTTCTCTCTTTCTTCATTTATATGCTTTTCTCTCCTTCGCGAGAAAAATGTAAATTTGGTCCCAAAACTTTTGTTGTTTCTCATATTTGGTCTCAAGCACGTCATTATGGTTCTTTTTTAATTTTCGTTTCAAAAATGGTCACACGTCCGTCAAGATTGACGGGGCTCATGTGAGGACGTTAGATTGGACCAATTTTGCAATCTTTTTGACCAATTTTGCAATGTTTCAAAAAAAAGAACGAGTTCTTCAAGTCTCTTTCATTCACTCAAAGCCGAAATGACATAATAAAATTAATATTTTTAAAAATATTGCTAATTAAGTGGTATTTAATTTATTTTTTAATATTTTTACTGTCATTACTTAAAAAATATTGGCAATTATTTGAATATTATTTAAATTAAAGAATAAATAAAAATAATATTATTTTAATAAAATAAAGCAAACCAAAAGACATAATCCAATTTATCAAAATAAGAAAAAATGTGAGTATGCTTACAATAATACTATTCCGTCTACACTTTTAAATATTAGTATAATGTGATAATTTATATATATATCCTTACAAATTATAAAATAATACGAATTAAGAAAAAAAAAACTCAATCTAAACTATTTTTTTATGCTGTTTATTCTTATTTTAATAATTTTTTATTTATTAATTTGATTTTGACAACTATAAATTGAAAAATCTATTTATTTATGCAAATTACATCTACTTAAAAAATTTCAATTTTAAGCATAATAAAACAAAATTTAGCATTAAATTAAGTGAAAATAGACATTTGCTCCCACTTATTTATAGTAAAATATATCATATATTTTTTTGCATCTCATTTATCATGAACTAATTAATAAAATTATTTTATACACCTTTTGTTAAGTTACCCAATTAAAAATCATTTTATGTAAAAAAAAATCAAGTTGAACTTTAATTCACAATAAAAAATGTGAAAGAATTGTATGTTAGTTATATTTAGTTTTTATAATTTATTAAAAAATAAACTAAATGTATTGTTAGGAAAGAATGGTAATATACCTTTTTAACATTTACTAAAAAAAATTTGAACAAAATGTTTCTAATAAAAATAAATTTAAATAATTTTTATCACTTACTCTTTGAGAAAATTGTAAATTTGATCCCAGAACTTTTGTTGTTTCCCACATTTGGTCCCAGGCTATAAACGTTGACTGTTAAGTCTTGACGGAGTGGGACCATTTTGGCAACAAAAATTCAAAAAGGACCATACTTGGCGTGTTTGGAACCAAATGTGGGAAACAGCAAAAGTTCTGGGACCAAATTTATAATTTTCTCCTCTTTCGCTATTACCATATATTTGTATGTGCGATCTCTGTATCTCAACACGTTATTAGTCTTAAGTTATCTTAGGTATGTATATCCCTAATTTTATGTACATATACTTGGTTGATAAAGAGTATATTCACTACAATATTTGTCTCATCTATTTCATATTATAGTATCAGAGCTTTTTTTTTTTTCGNTTTTTCCGTCAAATATGATCGCTCACATCCATTCGGATTAATAATCGTGATCAATTCCGTTCGTCGTCGCCATCGCGGTCTGTTGCTGCTCGAATATGTCTCCACGTTGCACGAGTTATCGTCTGCCGATTGCGTCTCAGCCCCCGTCCACGTCATCGGTCGTCGTCAGCAGCATCCCGTCAACAGCAGTCCGCAATTGTTGTTTGGGCTTGTTCTGTAAAAGCGCGGTTGCTTTCCGTAAAGTCATCCGCAGATACTCATCGCAAATGAAGAAGGAAAAAAAAAGTCCAAAATTGTGTCTAAGATTAGCAAGTTTTTTTGTAACTTCTTCAATTGAGATTTTGGGATAAGGATTCACGAAAGCAGTTAAATGAATTGTTAATTAGCCGTTCTAGTTTGTTCTCTTGTTACGAAAAATTATTGAGAACGAGTGCTTGAACTTGTCGATTAGTCAAATCACTTAACCAAACAATTTCTTGCTTGATAATTGCATTTTCGAACCAAAACGGATATCCCCGACTCCCTACCTTCTTAAATTCTGATTGTTCTTCGTTGTTGCTTGCTATTTCAATTGCTTAGTTTAAATTCTCTTGTAGTTGATAATTAAATCCAAATTAAATCATCTGAATTAGAATGTTTAGGAATTGTATTTCTTTTATTTGTGTTTGAATAAACGTGCATAATAATCCGGCTGACCTTCCTCGAGAGACACGACCCGGTGTTCGAATCTTTCGATTCTACTCTGGAAAAATATTCACAACACTGGTGGTTGTCCATGTGTTTTCATTGTGGCCGAATGGGCCATCTTGTCGTGACATGTTTCGAGATTTTTGGATTCTCAAAATGGTTTGGATCCGGTGGTGGTTGCGGTCGTTCGTTTAGTGGAGGCCGCCATGGTGGAGCTCGCAACAAAGGTGGTGCTCGTGTAAATGTGGTCATCTTCGGTGACATTGGTCATTCGTTTGTTGTTGATTTTGTTGGTTCTTTCACTACTAGTGGCGCTTTGAGTGATTCTGATCGTCTTGCACTTAGCTGTTTAACCAATGACCAGTGTGCACACATTGTGACTTTAGTTAATCTCACTAAACAGGACACTCACTTGTCTGGTAAGAGTCATTTATTTGATTGGATGTACGACTTTGGGACGACTCATCATATGACATATTTCATAGATTTTATTTCCAATGTTCGGGATATTCCGGTCCGTCCTGTTCAATTGTCGAATGGTTCTTTGACTGCAGCTAGCAAGACTGGGACTGTCTATTTGGGATCTCATGTTACCCTTTATGATGTTTTATACGTTTTCAGTATTCGGTACAGCTTGATCTCTATATCATTTGTTGGCTTGTTCTGACTGCATCACCTAGTTTACTAACAAATTTTGTGTTATTCAGGACTGAACTTCGAGGATGGTGATTGGCACGGGTGAGCAGTTGGGGGATCTCTAGTTCTTTCGAGGAATGGTGTCTACTATAATTTCTTGTGTTCGGAAGGTTTCTGTAGATGTCTGGCATCAACATTTGGGTCATCCGTCAGCTCAAGTATTGTCGCAGCTTCCTATTATTGATTTTAGTTCTCGTAGTTTGACTTGTGATGCTTGTTTTCGTACTAAACAACATCGTCGTAGTTTTCCTCTCAGTCAGACTGTTAGTCATAAGATTTTTTATTTGATTCATTATGATTTATAGGGTCCGTATCATATTCTGTCCTTTTGTGGTGCATGGTATTTTCTTACTATTCTAGATGATTCTTCTCGTGGGACATGGATTTATTTATTACATGACAAGACATAAGTTGCTTCTACTTTGTTGATTTTTTTCTATGATTAAGCGACAATTTGGTAAATTGGTGCATGTTGTTTATAGTGATAATGGGAGTGAATTCATGTGTTTAACCTCTTATTTTCATCGTGAAGAGATCTTGCATGAGACTTGTTGTGTTGGCACCCCTCAGCAGAATGGGCGCGTGGAACGCTAGCATCAGCATATTCTCAATATCTTTCTTGCTTTTCGCTACTGGGCTTATCTTGCTTTATGCTACCAGGCTTATTCTCAATATCTCCCTTTTCTGGGATATTGTGTTCTGACTGCAGCTTATCTGATAAATCGGACTCCTTCTTCGGTTTTACATGGTAAAACCCCGTACGAGATTCTTTATGGTACCGCTCCTCACCTGTCTCATTTAACTTTTTCTGGTTGTCTTTAGTACGCTCATAACTAAGAGCGTAATGGTGACAAGTTCTCTTCTCGGAGTCATCATTGCCTATTTGTCGGTTACCCATTTGGGAAAAAGGATGGAGTCTGTATGATTTGGATCGTCAGATTTTTTTTGTTTCTCTTGATGTGAAGTTCATTAAGCCATTACGTCTTGTTGTGCTGGTTTTTTCTGCGCCGGATAATGGTAAGAATCTTCCGGTTGTCTCTTTACCGCATATTTCTCCTGATATTAGGTCTTCTTCCACTAATGTGAGCACGTCCGATGACAGGGGGCTCCATTATTGTTACCCCTTCTGCGATTCAAGCGGAGCCCTTGGGTCGTGGTCATCGGGCTAAGGTTTCTTCCACTTGGCTGAAGGATTTTGTGGTTGATAATTGTCCGGCCCTTGTCCATATTTATCTATCTACAAAAATTTTTAAAGTTTAGAAAGAATCTCATATTATGTGGATTCTTGATAGCTATTTTTTTGTACACATTCCATGAACAATTAGTTAAGATAAACATTGGAAAAGGAAACAAATCATACTCCCTCTATTTGAAAATGTATCATTTTAGTTTTACAAAAGTAGAATTACAAATTTAACGAGAATGATTATTTTATCCTTATATAAGACTTTTATAAATATTTTACATCCGATTTTTATATTATTTTATTTATTATCCCTTTTTAACGGAGGGAGTAAAAAGATAGTAAAAAGTAAATATCATACAAATTAATATTGAATAAGAAATAGTTCGATAAGACAAAATCACACAACTTATTTACAAATTGATGAGATATAAATTTGAATATAAAATCTATGTCACACAACAAATTGATTATAATTTTGAATATAAAATGATATTTAAATTTTAATATAAAATTAATCTATGATTTATTTGAATGTAAAATCTAATCATACAAAAAAGTTAATGAATAGTTATATATATACCCATTTTATTTTATTAGTTGTATATGTACTAATTTTATA